GGCGCAGCCATGGCGGAGGCCCCCGGGGCAGAGCCCTTCCCCGGGCGTGCTGTGGGCAGCAGCCCACCGCTCTCTGCCGCGGCGGGGATCGGGCTTTGCACGTCGGAGGTGAGGAGCTCTGCGAGGAGAGCAGGTGACTTCGCACAGGAGAAGGTTGTGGCGCAGCTGGGAACAGGAGCCAAGTCTTAATAACGCTAATATGCCTTAATTGCAAGGATGTTTTTCTTTTCCTTATCGTTCAAACTGACGTGTACGGCGAAACCCTCCCCTGCATCTTTTATTAACCTCCCCTTTTCAACACCCAATACGTCCATTCGCCCCTAGATTCGGGACGACTGGGCTAGCCCTCGGGGCGACCGAACGGTGCAGTTTCTCAGCTTCCCTCTCCTGTGCTCACAACAGGAGAAAAACACTGAGCAAGGGTTTTTCCCCTATCACATGCTCTGCTGCTGGCACCACCAGCCAGACCGTTCGGCAGGGCTTTGGTCCGCGCCTCATGTGACTGCTGACTGAATCCGAAACGTGAAAGGTTACCTGCTGGGCGCAGATAACATCAGCTGTTGCACATTTTTAATCGTCGCCGAAAACAGCAGCCGGTTTCGTGGGAGCAGAGCTGGAAAAGAGACATCAAGCCAGGTCTCGCAATGTTTTCCTCAGCGGGTGTCTCCTTGTGATGAACTGCGGAGTTCGGCGTAGGTGTTCTCCGGCTGGGTGTAAATGTTCAGCCGTTCGACTGAGGGAAAAGGGTGCTTAAAAATGCCTCGGTTTACACAGGCGGTTGTTTCGCTGTATGCGCATTAAAAGCTTTAACTGTCTGCCTGCTTATTCAAAGCTTCGGCTTGAAATTAAAAATTAAATTATATGTGCTTGCACCGGGGAGAGAGGGAGAAAATAGCAAAGAGCTCTTTTAAGGCCAGTCATTAATTTGTATTTTACCTGTATCTGAGGGGTGCTGAAATGACCGACTTTTGTGAAGATCGTTTGAAAAGGGATGGGGACTGGGGGTTAGAAAGGCTGTTTTCAAATAGCTGCCAGAAAGGGGTTTTGTTCATGACAGCAGGCTGGATGTTTTTACATTAGTTTTGCATTCCTACCAGGAAATTTTTCTTACCTCTCCAATTTCTGATAACCTTAAACAGTTTCACTTGGAAAATGT